CAATGGTCACTGAGAAATTTCTCCGTATCTCTTTCTCACACCCACATATTCTGTGGGCACTATTACTTGAAATGTTTAGCACTTGTCATCTTCGCTATAGCCTTCCTTGAATTTTTTTAAACATTTTGAGACTATATCATATTGCATTACTCTTTTGAAAGTATTAGACACCTTTACATGTGTAATGTAAATGTGGTAGCAATGTGAGAAAATATTAGAAATTCTTTAAATTATTAAATTAATTAAAATTCCAAAGTTACAATTCCAAAAAACATGTGTGCACACCGCCCCCCAACACATGCACACACACACACACACACACAAGAAGTGAAAGAAAAAGAAAACAAGTGGACATTCATTTTAAGACTGAAATCAGTAAATGTCAATTCTATTATATTCAAATTTCACATAATGAAGCAAATGCTTTTTGAAAAAAAATAATAGCATTGGTGTACTTTTATACAGCAAATGAGAATGTGCCCCATGCCACTGGAGCTATAAATAAGAAAGCATTTTGAACCCCAGTTGTATTACAAGAATGCAAGATGTTACCACTTGTAAAGAGCTACTTATTAGTTTGAAGAAATTTTTTTAAATGTTAAAAACTCTAAATTTTACTCTTGCACGTCAAATGAGAATTGCATTAGCTCTCACCTTTAAGCCCACATTACATGTCATATAATCCTTCTAAGCATAAAATTAGATGTCTAATTTTCATTTTCAACCTAATTTTAAAAATAGCACGTATGATGAACCATAGCTCTATTTCTCCACCTTTTTTATCCAATGCACACTACCTTTTAACTATTCACACATTTTCTCAAAGTCAAGGACTAAAAGAAGGGGTCATTTGGAAATCTCTCTAAAACATACCTTAGACTGACAATCTGACAACTTTTATTAGCATTAGGTATAGAAGCTAACAATTCATGATATGGGCTTTTTCAGACATTCTGTAGGGATGGAACTTAAAACTTATAAATTGAGATCAAACTTCTATAAAGTACTCTAGGAGTGATGAGAAACTACAATTTACAGTATAAAATCTTAACTTGATAGAATGTAAAACCACAGAGTTACTGTTAACAGCAATGAGCCATTCTCACAACATTTATATGCAGGAAAAGCTGTGGGAAAATGTCAACCCTTTCAAATTTAACTTGTAGCAATTATTCTCTACAGGAAATGGAACTGAAGATAGAAAGGAAACAATGCTCTAAGACCCCACCAGGTTCACTCAAAGGCATTGAAACATATCATTGATAACATCATCTTCATTAATCAGTGACTAAATACAATGAATCAATTGCTCTTCTACAAATGTTTGTCCCTAATACTTTTGTTTTAAAATAGTCTTCTAGAGCCTATATTTAATTGTCTAGTTAATGTTCACAGGGGAAGTAATAGGTTAATAAATGCAGCTACCATAGGTCTGAAAATGTAAAAATTATTTTCATGTTGCCATTCAAATAATTCTGTGATTTATCTGGATAGGTAGAGTCATTTTGGCAAGGAGCCAAAAAAAGGCTCAGCACAGTTTTATCTGCCTTAAGCATTTGTCAAGAAGTCTGAAACCACCTCTGCATACAATAACAATCCTTGGGCAAAGCCGACATTTACCACTCTGCTGCTAACAATTATCAGGAGAGAGAGGGACAGAGGGAGGGAGAGAGAGAGAGAGAGAGAGAGAGAGAGAGAGAGAGAGAGAGAGAGAGAGAGAGAGAGAGAGAGAGAGAGAGAGAGAGAGAGTATAAAATACACATAATAAAATATACATATATACATTGTGTGTTATTACTTTATAGAAAACTCATTTTCATATATTTAATTTTTCAAAAACACTCAACAGTAACAGACTGCAAAAAATCAGCAATTTAAAAAAATATGATCATCTGTAACTTTCTTTGCTTAAATGACGGGAATATGTGTATAGAGTAAAGTGCTATTGAAGAGGTCTAGGACTTTTGATGTGCTGCAAACCCAAAATCGCGGTACCAGGCCCTGCTAAATGAATTCAACTCAAATCGTCTTCAGCCAGAGGAAAAGTTTATTAGTGATAAATCGCATTGGCCAGGTGAAACCAGTCAGGAAGAGTGGGCATGAGAAAAGCTCAGCCTTTGGGGCATGAGAGATTCTCAGCCATTAAGGCCTGTGAGGAAGGGCGGGCATGAGAAAGTCTCAGCCTTTTGAGCTTGAGATTCTCAGTGTCTGAATGGGGGCCAGGGTGGAATTTTTATACACTGAAGTGACTTTGGGTGGCCAGAGGTAAGGGGCTGGGAAAAGGGTCTAGGTGAGAATTCTGATTGGAAGATCTGAGAGATTGAATAGACAATGGGAATAGCTAATGGAGGGAACAGGAAGGCAGAAGTTTGAAAGGCATCTGCACAAGATCAAAGGGTGGGGCTAGGACTTTCAAAGGGAGATAAGGGGAGTTGATAAGGAACCCTTTGAGACCAGAGTAAGGCCTTTCTGGGGCCTATACACAAAAGGGAGACAGATTCTTTTAGGCACATCTGAATAAGATTAAGAGGTAAGGCTAAGGCTTTCAAAGGGAGATGAGGGTCTGGGGCCTGTAGACAAATGGGAGTCAGATACCCTTTGGTGCAAGGGGCAAAGATCTTGGCTTGGTCCCCGCCCCCATCACTATAGGGATATAAGTAAAAGATTCAGTAAAGATTTCCTTTCTAGTAGTTTCTGATAGGTTGTTGCACTTGGGAAAATAATATAATGTAGTAGAAAGAGTGAGGGAACTAGAACAAAAAAAAAAAACACAAAAAACCCAACAACCATGTGAGCGAGACCAAATCACTTTGCTCTTCCAGGCCCAAATTTTCTTATCTACAAGATGAAGGCATCAACTACCTTATCTCTTCTAGCTCTAATATATGCTTCTGTGATTTCTCTTCAGTTCAGCATCTTTTTTGTCCAGTTGTTTCAGTTATTTCTGACTCTTGGTGACGCCATTTGGGATGTTCTTGACAAAGATACTGGAGTTGTTTGCGTTTCCTTGTTAGATCATTTTATAGACAAGGAACTGGTGCAAACAGGGCTAAGGAACTTGCCCAGGGTGACACAGCTATTAAGTAACAGAAGCCAAATTCGAACTAAGAAGATGAGTCTTCTTGACTTCAGGCTCAGCACTCTAGCTCCACTGGGTCACTTAGCTGCCCAAATTATCTTTTACTCACACCAAATATATTTATTCTTTTTTATCTGTGTAGTAGGTAGACTACTGGATAGGAGTCTGGGTTTCCCATGATGGAGAAGACTGAGGATATATTTATGTTATGGAAAATAAAGAAGGGCAGAATTACTGGGGTCTGTTTACTTTGGCCTGAGCCAAGTTTGTTTTCCATTTTTCTTCATATTCCTTGGGCAAATCAGAGCCTAGTGAGTACTAGCTGAGTAACTGATATTTCGTAAATGAGTATTTTGCACACTCTTAAGGTTTTTAGCTAAAGCCATATTTTATGTAAATGCTATGGCCTTAGATAATATTCCTTATAAAACTGATAAAGTTCGTAACTGGATAAGCATCAACAAAGTCACATTGCTATGACTTTCCTCTTTGATTGGTTCCTGAACCCATGTTAGTAGTCCCTGGGGCCCTAAGTCTTTCAATAGCTGTTTGATGATACATATACATCTGAATTCATTCACCTGAATAAGGAAAGGATGGGAGTTAGGTTTTTCAGCATTACTCCTAAGTAAAATTTTGACATTAACAAACTTTATCTGTGTACTCTCAGAATTCCCTTTCTTTGATCTTTTCCATACACCAGGGTGTTTCTTCACTAATTTTTTATATTCAAACTTAAAATGATCTCCAGCCATTCCCCAAATCCATCCATCAATCAAGAAACACAAACATATTTTAAGTGTTTACTAAGCGTTAGGGGTATTTGGGGTATTCAAGGAGGGCTAGCACCTATGGTACAAGCCCTTTTCAGGGCTTCTCATCCAGCTTTGGTGTCTCATCCAACTCTCATCAATGGCTCCAAGAAATTGTAGCATGCACAGTAGCCACACCCTGGTAAAGTAGTCTTGGCAGATGTGCTAAACCAGTTTGAAGGTAATTGACAGGCCTCAAATCTGTCAGTAAGTTAAGGAGATGTCTACCCTAAGCACATGAAGAATTCGCCCTGGAGGAATGGGTGAATGAGAGCAATCTGTTCCAGTGGCCATGAAAGCAGCAGAAGAATGCACTATGGAATGCCTAGAGGTTGGTTAGACATTGAAGACACTAACAGAATCCACTGCATCCAGAGCCATTGACAGTTGTCTTGACTTTTGTCTTGCCACTGGATTTTAATGAAGAGTTACGGTAATGACTTTTCACAACTCTGCTTCATTTAAATCTAATTCATGTGCCAGTCAAGACAATACCCATCATCTACCATTTTGTTGTTTTATTATTTCATTATTGAGCATGCTAATATTTTCATATCTTACTATTTTGCCTACTTTGAAGTCTGATTGCAAGGGATAAACGACAAAGAAGCAGGTGCAAATAAACTGGGAGTTGTAGTCACAACCTAGCCACAGGTGGTCCAGGGTCATCTTCTCACTGGACTAAAGCATCAACGTCTGAGCAGCTTTATTTAAGGATCACAGTGCTCACCTTCTGGCATGAGGAAAGGACTAAAAAAGGTGTTCTAAAAATTGTCTGCTTCATCCAACCCTGACCTGCTTACCCTGTGGTCAAAACACACAAAAAAGGTACCACAAGCTTTTGCAAATATGATTCCACTCAACATCAGTGCATGGAATGTGTGCACACTCATGGACAAAAGGAAATCCAATAGACCTAAAAATGAACAGCTTTTGTGAGAAAATTCAGCAGACACTATAACAAAACAACAGCCCTGAATGAAAAGATTGGAAAATAAAGGCCAGCTTACTGAAGTCACAGCTGGATATGCTTTTTTTTTTCCTAAAGAGGCCATAGTGGTGAAGAATTCTATAAAGCTGTTGAAAGTTTTGCAATTTGATCTTACCTAGTCAGCAAGCCCTTATACATGAGGACTTGTGGAAGATCATGGTGAAATTTGGTTGCATGAAGAAGTTCATCAGTATTGTACACTAGTTTCATGATGGCATGCTTGCACCGGTTCTAGATGAAAGAAGTTGCTCTCCAAATGTGGAGCATTATGCAAAGCATCATGTTGTCAGATACCTTTAATGAGGATGAAAATAGCATCAAAGTCACCTACCACACTGATGGTAAACTATTTAACTTGAAAAGGCTACAAACCAAGTCTAAAGAAGAGAGACAGCTGGTGTATAACTTTTTGTTCACAGATTACTGTGTACTCAATGCAGTCTCTAAGACTGAGATGCAACAGAACATGGACCAATTTTCTTTTACTTCTGCTATTTTTGGCTTGACAATCAACACCAAGAAAATAAACATTCTTTACGAGTCAGCACCACACTATCCATACACCGAACCACTGATTACAGAAAATGGGAGAAATTTTGAATGCTGTGGATGATTTCACTTACCTTGACAGTGTACTTTTCTAGAGATGTCCAAAAAAATGATGAAGTTGATTAATGTTTCTAGAACCAGCTCAGCACTTGGAAGGCTCTAAAAAAAAGTGTGGAAGAGAAGAGGTATTATGCTGCCTACCAAACTGAAGGTCTACACAGACACTGTTCTGACTTCATTCTTGTATGACTGTGAAACTTAGACAGTCTACCTGTACCACATTAGAAAATTAACCACTACCACTTAAATTGTCTTAGGAAGATTCTGAAGATTACCTCACAAGATAGGGTGCTAGATACTAAGGTTGTTTTCTAAGCTGAACTGCCAAGCATTCAAATTCTACTGCAGAAAGCTCAACTATTTTATAGTTACAAAAAATAATCACAAGATTCATTTGGAAGAACAAAAGGTACGGAATATCAAGGGAACTAATGAAAAGAAATGCAAGGGAAGGTGGCCTAGCAATTCCAGATCTTAAATTGTATTATAAAGCAGCAATCATCAAAACTGCTTGGTACTGGCTAAGAAACAGAGTGGTGGATCAGTGGAATAGGTTAAATATGCAAGACACAGTAGTCAATGACTATAGTAATCTATTATTAGTAAACCCAAAGACCCCAGCTTCTGGGATAAGAACTCAATCTTTGAAAAAAAAACTGCTGGTAAAACTGGAAAAAAGTATGGCAGAAACTAAGCATGGACCAAAATCTCATACCATATATACCAAAATAAAGTCAAAATGGGTAAATGATTTAGATGTAAAGGCTGATACTATAAGCAAACTGGGAGAACAAGGAAGAGTTTACTTATCAGATCTATGGAGAAGAGAAGAATTCATGACCAAACAAGAGGCAGAGAACATTACAAAAAGTAAAATGGATAATTTTGATTACATTAAATTGAAAAGTTTTTGCACAAACAAAATCAATGCAACTAAAATTAGAAGGAAGAAAGAAAGTTGGGAAAGAATTTTTACAATCAGTCTCTCTGATAAGGGCCTCATTTCTAAAATATATAGAGAATTAAGACAAATTTATAAGAATACAAGCCATTCCCCAATTGATCAATGGTCAAAGGATATGAACAGACAGTTCTCAGATGAAGAAATTGAAGCCATCTATAGTCATATGAAAAAATGCTCTATATCATTATTGATTAGAGAAATGAAAATCAAAACAACTCTGAGATACCACATCACACATATCAGACTGGTCAACATGACAAAACAGGAAAATGATAAATGTTAGAGAAGATGTGGGAAAATTAGAACACTAATGCATTGCTGGTGGAGTTGTGAAATGATTCAACCATTTTGGAGAACAATTTGGAACTATGCCCAAAGGCCTATAAAAATGTACATACCGGGGGGCAGCTAGGTGGCGCAGTGGATAAGCACAGACCCTAAAGTCAGGAGGACCTGAGTTCAAATCCGGCCTCAGATCAAACACTTGACACTTACTAGCTGTGTGACCCTGGGCAAGTCACTTAACCCCAATTGACTAAAAAAAAAATTTTTTTTTAAATGTGCATACCCTTTGACCTAGCAATAGCACTTCTAGGGCTATATCCCAAAGAGATCATACAAATGAGAAAAGGACCCACATGTACAAAAATACTTATAGCAGCTCTTTTTGTGGTGGCAAAGAATTGGAAATTGAAAGGATGCCCATCAACTGGGGAATGGCTGAGCAAGTTGTGGTATACGAATGTAATGGAATACTATTATGCTATAAGAAATGATGAACAAGATGACTTCAGAAAAACCTGGAAAGACTGGTATGGTATGATGCTGAATGAAGTGAGCAGAACCAAGAGAACGCTGTACGCAATAACAGCCACTTTGTGCGATGACTAATATTGACAAACTTAACTCTTCCCAGCAATACAAGAATCTAAGATATCTGCAGAGGCCTCGTGATGGAAAATGCTATCCACATCCAAAGAAAGAATTATGAAAGTTGAATTGCTATTTTTTTCTCTTCTGTTGAGTTTTGTTTCCTCTTTCTGATGGTTCCTCTTATTGGTTTTAAAATGTGAAAATATGTTTAATAGGAATGTAAATGTATAGCCTATATCAGATTGTGTGCTGTCTTTGGGAGGGTGGTGGGGAAGAAGGGGGAGAAAAATTTTAAACTCAAAAGCATATGAAAGTGATTATTAATAAATCAAAATAAATTAATAAAATGTAAAAAAAAATTTAAAAATCAAAAAAAAAGAAAGTTCAACTATGATGGGCTAACTATGTAGCCTGAATGTCATAGAGAACTCAAACAAAGTAAGGGCTCACACAGAAATCAGAAGTTGTACAAGGACACTCAAGTTGTCTTTGAAGAACTTTAGCAATGACTATGAGACATGGGAAACACTGACAGAGAACTCAACTTTAATGGGCTGGCTATGCAGCCCAAATGCCACAAAGAGCTCACACAAAGCAAGTGCTTACACAGAGTTCAGAAGAAATGGTATAAGGACAATCTCAAGGTCTCTCTGAAGAACTTTAATATCAATTGTGAGACATGAGAGACACTGCAGAAGCCTGCCTAGCATGGGGTGCCAGAATCAAAAAAGGTGATGTTCTCCATTAGCAAAGTAGAATCACAGTACACAAAAGAAACATGAGTTGCACAAACCTGGAGAAATATCTATCCCAAATGTTTAGATGGACTCTTTGTGCCCAACCTATGGTAGAGCCTTCCAAGCTCATACTGGACTGACCAGCTGCAATCGAACACACTGTACCTTAAGCCAAATATTGTGATTTCATCGTTCTTAGAGCAGGAAGTACAAACAACAGTAGCAGCAGCAACAACAACAAAAGCAATTATGTACTAGGGTTTGTGCTAGGTACTAAAGATAAAAAGACAAAAATGAAATAGCTCCTGTTCTAAAGGAGCTTACGTCACATACAAAACAAAATGCCACAATCCCCAATCCAAATCTTCAATCAGGGAAAATATGAAACTCATTTCATTAGGGCTATTTGCTTTTTAAGCCTCATTTCTAATTGAGAAGTTTCATAAATCAGTAAGCAGGGAAAGAAGGAATTTTTTTGTGGGGGGGGATTTAGAGGATTCTAGCCCTGATGAAATTTTTCAAAGTATGAGACAGACTGTTTTCCTCACTCTTAAAATGAGCTGTGTTTTTTGATTGTGTGTTTTGTTTTGTTTTGCTAGCAATATTTGTGGTAGGTGAAAACATTTTTCTATAACTGTAGAAGTACCAGTTAAAGTTTTATATAAATCATTTTTTCACGTTTTTTTCTAGAATAGGTGTCATCTGGGTTTGGTAAAACATTCTTCAGTGGAAGGACACTTAACAGAAAAAAAAATAGGTATATTCCATGAATTTCAGTGTAGGCCAAGAAATATTTTGCCTTCATAATTTAGTGTGCAGGCCAGATAGAACAGGGAACTGACACTGAGTTATTGTTCCCTATGAGCCAAAATGTGTGCTGTTTTGCTGTCCTTAACAAAAAATATGAAAAGTGTCACTCTGATGGATTCAGTAGTTATACCATATGCCAGGATGTTGTATTGGAAATATCTTAGGCTAAGTAGCTCACACAGCCATGCTGTTTATGATATGCTGATATGTAACGGATGCTAATAGGAATCCAGAGCTCCTCTTTAACACCAGTGAAGCCCCCACGGGATTATAAACACAGTGTAGCATCCTTTTAGTAAATAAAGGTCCAGCAAGTTTGATGGTATTCTGCCTAAAGGTCAAGCTTACCAGTCTTAGTGATAACTTCAAGGCTTATGAGTCACATACAGACATTTAACAAAAGATATTTGTCTGCAATTATGTTTTGATTAGGTCCTGATGCTAATATACCATCTGTGCAAGTAAAGCTACAATCTCTCAATTGCTTGCCCTTTTTATTTTCTTTTTCGAACTTGACATTTAGCTGCTTGCAATACTTGGTGAACTCTATTTACCAATGGAGAAATGAAACCCTTATCTTATCTAGAAATGACAGAGTTCTAAATGACACCTCAAATACAGAACTCTTATCCTTGGGACTGAGGATTTGTCAGGCCTTAGCATTTACTTGTAGTATAAACAAGCAATAAAATATATAAATTTTATTGTCCAGCATCATGTGTTTGTAAGACTTACTTAATGGACAGTTAAGAAGAATTGGAGAGTTACCTGTAGGACATTACCATTATCTGGTGAAAGAAAAGGATTTCTGGATAGTGCAGCAAGCACTATAATTTCTAGGAATTATATAACATATTCTACTTCCTATCACTAAGAATATTTTAAATGTCCAAATATTAGGACACAGTTAAAAATCTTTGCATTGCATTAAGCTTAGATAACTTGCTATTTTACTATTTACTGCATGCGTTGAGTGAATTCAATTTCAGTCTTTCATAAAAATTCATTAAAGGCAGATAAAAATTTGGACAGTTCTTTCTTTGTAACTTTTTAAAAAATATATTTATTTTGCTAAATATTTCTTATTTTTAAATTCACTTTAAATTCATTCAGTTTTTAAACTTTTGAGTTCCAATTTTTTCACTCCCTCCTCCCACTCCTTGAGAAGACAAGCAATATAACACTAATTATACATGCAAAATCATGAAAAACATTTCCCTATTAACCATGTTTCAAAAGAAAACAGAAAAAACCCCCACAAAAACAAGAAAAATAAAGTGAAAAACTGTGCTTCAATTTATACTCCATGTTCATCAGTTCTCTCTCTTGGGGGGGGATAATATTTTTCTTCAGGAGTCTTTTGGATTGGTCTTAGCTCATTGTCTTGATTGGAGTAGCCAAGACTTTCACCGTTGAATATCCTTACAATACTGTTACTATGTACAATGTTTTCCTGGTTCTGCTCTTTGTACTTTCCATCAGTTCATATAAGCTCCCAAATATTTTTCTAAAACCATCCTACTCATTATTTCTTCTACCACAATAATATTTCATCACAGTCTTATGCCACAAGTTGTTGACATTCCCCAATTTATAGGCATCCCTTCAATTTCCAATTCGTTGCCACCACAAAAAGAACTGCTATAAACGTTTTTTGCATAAATGGGTTCTTTTCCCCTTTTCTTTGATCTTTTTGAGATATAGACCTAGTAGTG